ATTCATCTGAACATTTTGTAAAAAAAACAGGGAGGATTTTCATCTGGGGGGCTTGAAGCCCCCATATAAATTAAATAGAAAAAATCGTATATCTGAGAAACTATTAGAGCTAGAATCTTCAAATTTTACTTGAAGAACTTTGATATTCATGTGAACATTTTGAGAATAACGGGCAGACTTTCAATGGGGGCTTGGCACCTGGTAAACTATTAGATTATAAAAATTTTTCGTAGATTACATTAAAATCTTAATTAACGTTCGGGAAAATTGGCGAACTTGCAATAATTTGCGTGACATCTCTCATATGTAACAAATTGTATATGTGGAAAACTATTGTAGTAAGAATCTTCAAAATCGTTAAGTGGGTTATTTATTTATATTGCTTTAAGGGTAGCAAAGCACACTGGGTATAGCTAGTATTATATACTATACCAAAAGTCTCTTTTAGTAGATTCTCATTCACTAAGGTCCCTACGTTTTAATTTTTATATATATATATATATATATATATATATATATATCGTAAAATATCAAAAAGTACCATCGGAAAAACGAAAAAGTACAAAAATCTCTCTTAATAAATTCTCATTTAATAAGGACTGTGTGTCATGTGTTCCGGTTAACCATTATAGAGAATCCAAAAGGTATCATTTGAAGAATGGAAATGTACCAGAGTTTCCATTTACAGAATATTATTCAGTCAAGACCATTTATGTTAAAATTTATGTTCCTAGGTCGAATATTTTAGAAAGTTCAAAAAGTACCATTTATGATGTAAAAAGTACTAAAAAGTTCTCTCCTAAAGAATCTTATTCAATGAGGACCGTGTATGTTTAATAATCATGTGTTTTGAATTCTTATTATAGAACATCAAATAGTATCATTTGAAGATAGAAAAAGTACCAAAAGTGGAATAAATTCTACTTTAGTGGAAAGTACTAATAAAAAGAGTGCAATTTTTCCCCTTTTTGTTTAGAAATATACATTTTCGAGAATTAAGTTTACAAAATGTTCCGTATTTAAATCTATACATCACAGATACAACTCAAACGATTCAAATATGAATTCATTTGTTCCAGAAAAATTGTGCTTTCAAAAAGTACCAAACAATTTACTCGAATTTGGTCCTATATAACCTTAGTACTCGAATTCCAAAATAATATACCAATAGCTTATTTTGTGTGACTACTTTTTCAAATTTTATAAAAATTGGCTAAATGAGTTTGAATAAAATTAAATTTCCCTTTTTTTCCCTTTTTGGTGCTTTTTTCCTCAGTGAAGTAGCAAAAATTTTGTTTCAATAAATATTACAGAGTTAGTCTGTAATTTAATAGGAATACTTCAATAAATCGAACAAATTTTCTTAATGTGCTAAAAAAGTACCAAAGATACAGTTTTCTCACTTTTACACCCAAAAAGGACTGAATTTCAAAAAAAGTACGAAACAGGTGTCTCATAATTTTGGGAGATATATTCAAAATGTTTATAAAAATGTTATTTTGTTTATTAGTTAAAAAGTTATAAAGGTCCAAAAAAGGTACCAAAATCACCTATGTTACACATTTTCACCCCTTAAAAATACGAATTTCAAAAAGTACCAGAGACCCATCTGCTCATATTAGGAGTAGATACAGGTGCATTTAAAATTTTACTTGTATCACTAATATTATGTAAGATAATTAAGAAACCCAATTTTACCCGTTTTCCCCTTTTTTTCCCCTAAATGTACAAATTTCCAAAAATCCCTCCTTAGTGGATCTACATAACTAAAAATACATCTACTGCAGTTACGAGCAGAATTGCGATTCGAATGCTCGGTGTATAGGCCCGAAAATTCTGCTGTGTTGGTGTGTCTGTGTTTAAGAGAAATGAAAACTTGTTTGTTGTTGCAAAATTCTTTAATGCATGTTATGTTCTCTTTTAATCCACATAACAAAATATTTAATATTAATTGGGAAAAATAATTTTTTTATAGAAAATATCAAAAATAATTGTTTAATTATGAAAATGCACGATGATGAATCAGTCAGTCAGTAACGCTACTCTTTTAAATATATAGATGACACATTACTCTGTATTTTAAACAAAATTTGTTGTTTAGTTAAATTTTTTTCATAAGATACCATATATTTAATTCAAATAATAAAATTTATAATGAAACTTACTTTTTGTCCGATAACTGACATATAATTTTGATGCATACCGGGGTATGTTGGGTATTAATGTACGAGGTAAAAGTAGAAAATCGGTCATAAGTCGGTTCAGAAAATATGTATCTAATTAATTTTTGGAACATTTATGGAAAACATTACTCTGAGATATCGTTGGTATTGACATAACGGTTAAAATTTTATAGATTGAAAATTTCAATTCAAATGAAAATAAGTTATTATTATATTAAAAAACACCAAAAAATATTTTTCTTCATACTTGAAGCAAAAATATGAAAAATTTTGTTATTAAATATTTTTTTAATTTAATAAAAACTATTAACTTAATTTAAACTGTTGCAAAAAATTTTGTTTCTTTTACTTTTTAACTTTTTCAACTTTTTTTCGACTTTTCGAATTTTTCCTTTATTTGGAAAATCGATTCTTCGACTTATTTCCTACAATAAAGTCGACTTTGTTATGACAAAAAAGTCGACTTCGAAAAGTCGGTTCTTCGATTATTTTAAAGTCCTCTATCAAGCAGTAGGGTTCTATAGTTGAAACGAAAAGTCGACTTTTCGACTTTTTTCATTTAGTTAAAAGTCGTCTTTTCGACTTTTTGCATTTTATCAAAAGTCGATTTTTCGACTTTTTTCATTTAAATAAAAGTCGACTTTTCGACTATAAGTATTTTATAAATACAGTAGTTTTTCGATTTAGCGAACCTATATGTTGTCAGGCCTTTTCGTTAAATCGAAAAGTTCGTTATATGCAGTACTAACTCGAAAGTGTCTTTTGGGTACATAAATAATTAAAATTACATAAAATCTAATTTATAAAAATATGTTCCAGGAAATATAATTTCTTTAGACAATATTTTATAAGAATTTTATGAAAAACTAGCAATTTATATCACAATGTAAAAACAATAAAGAAATTTGAAAAAACTCAGTTTATTTCGTATAACTAATCTACGTTCTGGAAAAGCACTCGGACGACATAATTCTTAAAGAAGTTTAAACCCAATGGCTGAAATTGCGATGAATCTGAAGCTGGCCTCAGAATTCCTTAGAAAATAGATTAATGTAAAGCTATTAAAGCATTTCATTGTTTCACAGTTTCATTGTTTTCATTCTTTGAGATATCTGAACATACAGTTTTTTAAAATATTTTTTCCTTTATTTCACAGCTATTCCTGTAAATATCCTTTTTCCAAAAGAAAAACTATTTATATTGTTTATTCTATAACATATCGTTTCTTACAATTTCTTAGAATTGATTTTTATTGGACAAAAATTATGGTCACAGTGGGGACTTGTTAGTTTGGCGAAAAATAAAAGCAAAATGTTAAGGTATACGATTGGCAAAGTCTTTATTTTGAACACCAATTTCTATGATTTCAAATTCTAAGGCCAAATTCGGGTTGATCACGAGCTTCTAGAAAAGTATACTTTGGCCTCTCTAAACATTTTTTGTTCCGATTTTCTAATTCGATCAACATTAGTTTTTGGGACATTAAGGATTGTAGATTTGATTATCTCATATTTTTGTATAAATCTTTAATAAAAAAATCTCAGATTATCTAGATTCTTCATTTTACTAAAATAAATACCCCTCCTAATAACGTCGAAGCTTTTCTGACATGATTCTTAGTTATTTTTGTTAATTTAACTCTAATTTAAATTATTTTATTTATATTTGTTCGTTAAACTGAGTACAAAAAATATTTTTTGTTCGTTATGTAAGGTACTCAATGTAAAAATATTGATAGTTCGCTAAATGCGATGTTCGTAGAAACGAATGTTCGTTAAATCGGAAAACTACTGTAGTCGACTTTTTCCGACTTTTTTCGACTTTTCGACATTTTTCGACTTTTTCGACTTTTTTCGACTTTTTCCGACTTTTTTCGACTTTTTGACTATTTTCGACTTCTTTCTACTTTTTTCCGACTATTTTTTGACTTTTTTTAAGTTTTTCCGACTATTTTAGAGTTTTTGACTTTTTTTTCCACTTTTTTAAAATTTTTGACTATTTTTGACTTGTTTCTACAATTTTCGATTTTTCGACTTTTTCCGACTTTTCGACTTTTTCCGACTTTATTCGACTTTATTCGACTTTATTCGACTTTTTTCGACTTTTCGACTTTTTACGACTTTTTTCGACTTTTTTCGACTTTCTTCGACTTTTTTCGACTTTATTCGACTTTTTTCGACTTATCGACTTTTTTCGACTTTCAGACTTTTCGACTTTTATTCACAAAGTCGACTTTTCGACTTTTTGACTATTTTCGACTTCTTTCTACTTTTTTCCGACTATTTTTTGACTTTTTTTAAGTTTTTCCGACTATTTTAGAGTTTTTGACTTTTTTTTACACTTTTTTAAAATTTTTGACTATTTTTGACTTGTTTCTACAATTTTCGATTTTTCGACTTTTTCCGACTTTTCGACTTTTTCCGACTTTATTCGACTTTATTCGACTTTTTTCGACTTTTCGACTTTTTACGACTTTTCGACTTTTTTCGACTTTCTTCGACTTTTTTCGACTTTATTCGACTTTTTTCGACTTATCGACTTTTTTCGACTTATCGACTTTTTTCGACTTTCAGACTTTTCGACTTTTATTCACAAAGTCGACTTTTCGACTTTTTTCACAGACGATAGTCGAGTTATCGACTTTTTTGGAACAAAATAGTCGACTTTCGACTTTTTTCGACAAAAAGTCGATTGTTCGATTATTCGAAAGTCGATTTATAGAACCCTATCAAGCAGTGTCTAATTCTCCTAACTTGGTATTACTTTATATCAGCTGTTATTCATTGTCATCTCCCGCATAACAACCCTGTATTAGCATTTGACAGATTGTCTGTGTATTTTCTTAGTTTTTATTTGTTTATTTGGCTATAATTAGTGCAAGTTGGATTATAAATAAACAACATTTTAGGAGTTCACAAAGCATTATTATGGAATTAAACGACTACAATGGTTTCGAAAACCATTGTAAAAATAATGAAATCGTAAGTGATTTTAAACAACTCGAATCAAGAGAAAGAAGGAAATAAAAATTCTAATTTTGTTCTATTTGGAAGGATTTAAAGGACAAATTTGTACGAAAAGAATCCCATAACATTGACACTATGGATCAAATTATGCAGCGCAAGGAACAAGAATTTATAGATCATGTAAAATTGGTTACCAATGAAATGCGTTCGTGTTTTAATATTCTTATTTGCAGACATTGCTGGCTCCAGAGTATATGAGAGATCCTAATCACTTCATTATGGACTTGATAAATTTTCCGAAAACTGAAACAAGTGCCCATAATAATGGGGATCACATAACTACAGATTTAAACTTTCATAATAGTTTATTTCCCGTAAGCGCGGATGACCCACAGCAAACAAATGAGCCACGCAAGACGGCACCCAATTCAGTATTTATGCCCTTAAATAATGATTTTTTAATGCCGGTTCAAAAGTCTTATAATACAACGGTAGATTCCGTGACCAACGTGGACGAACATGGTGTAAAGGTGGTGCAGCAATTATTGCTAACAAATTCTAATGTCACTTTGGATGTAAGTAAATTATCTGGTTTACATTTTTTTTCAATTGATTACAACCGAACAACAGCACTTTTTCATATATGAATGCAGCAGGTTGGCAACCGATGCCGTTTTTAATACCGATTAAATAACAACAGGTATTGATACCGATACCGAAATATGTTTATAAGTGTAAATACTATTTACTCTTATACCGGTATCGTACCGGTACAATATCGGTATCATACCGGTACAATACCGTTATAATTGTATCAATACCGAAGTTATAATACCGAAATCTTGCCCCTATTTTGCTTTAAATTTTGCAATATTGATAGAAATCCCAAAACTACTGGACTTCAGGGCCCTCCAAAGAAAAATGAGGATCTTCAAATTTCTATCGATGCAAACTAGTCGCCGAAACTAAAGCAACTGATGTTGTACTTATGTGGAATCGTTTATAAAATCTTCTACGCTGAAGATATTTTAAATTTGTTTTTTGATTTAAGTAATGTATATTACTAACTCAATAATAATAACATTTTCCAAATTGTTTCCAACATTTTTTCGTTAAATATTATTTAAATACACAAAGAAATTCATACCAGATTTGAATTGGCAAAAACTAAAACAACTACTTCATAAACAAACCGTTAAAAATTTAAGAAAACAATCAACTACAAAAATGTACCTAAGATCTTAATAAACAACTTTCTAGAACATATGAACTTACTAGGAATGATAGGTAAGTCGCAAAAGTGAACAGTTTCCTGAAATTGTTTTAATTTAATTTGTTTTTTCTTTACTTCAACATTGAGATACAATGCTATCTATTACAAAAATAATAAAAAAGTATTAGTATTATGTTTATAATGTTGATGGACCTGCACATGCAAATTGCACTCTTTTAAGTTGTGGACGCAAATCGTCGTGCGAATCTGACTCTATTTCGGAACTTATGATGTCCATTAACACGTTGCTCCCAGACTGTCTTCCATCTTCTTTACATACTTGATTAACATCATACAGGGTGATCTCGTGACTCCACCAACATATTTGTGAATTATGAATTAGAAAAGGAATGCAAAATAATGCGCCAATATTGTATCTCAATGTTGAATAAAGTGTCCCGAGGAACAGCCCTTTTAAGTATTTCATGTAGGAATACAACTCAATCGATGCGTCGATTAATGTACTGAACACGAGAAAAATAAAAAATAAATTTTTTTTGGAATGGTCCTCAGTTCCCTACCAGCGATTGAAAATCCTGACCTCAATATAATTTTTGAAAAATAAAACATTTTTGAAATGGGTCTCGAAAATTCCGTAATTTTGAGCTGATTACGGGGAAAATAATTTAAAAAATTTTGTAGAATATTTTTGGTCCACAAAATGATTTTTAGTGGGTTGGAGAGGCATTTGAACATATTGTACTGAGATCAATATTTTCAATCGCAGGTAGGGAACTGAGGACCTTTTCAAAAAAAAAAATCTTTTTTATTTTCTTATAATTTCTTTTATTACTTAAAATTTTCACAGAATCTGTGTCACCCCAATGAGAATTAAATACAAAAATGTTTATTAGAGCTAGAATCTTGAATTATTAAAATAAAAGTAAAAATAAGATTTTTTTTAGTTTTGAAAATTTTTACAAATAAATATTTCAAGAAAAGGTCAATTTAGGCCAATAATTAAGTAAAAATTACAGTAAAGTTAATGTGCATATGAACAAAATAAAAAATTTTAAGAATCAATGAAACTGAATTAAATTGCATTGTAATTGCATTTGTAATTGCGAACTTTTGTGAAAATTTAAAATTTTTTACAAAATTAAATTTCTTTTCCTTTGTATTTTTAACCAAAGACCTGAGGCAAAATTTGTTAAAATTGTTTGCAATAAATTATATTGATAGATTAAATAGATATTGCGAAAGAAAAATAAAATTTCTAGCAGCGTTTATTTGAAAATAGCGATATGATTTGCATAAATATTAGTGTCAAATAAAAGCTTTCTTGATTAATAGTTTTACTTCGACGTTTTTGTTTTATCCTTATAAAAAAGATTTCTCGAGCTCGATGTCAATTTTCCAATTGTTACTGCCTTGAAAATGATATCCGAAGGATATCGAAATATTGGAAAATAAATCAATGAACATTCTATGGACAATTGACCTCGGCTAGATTTCGGAAATATGACCAGAAATAAATTTCTATGAACTCAGAAATAATTATGTATTTCAATTTACTCGATCATAATTAAGCAACAATTTGTAATAATATCATTTTTGCTTATTTATTGGCAAAAATTTCCTTTTTCCCGGATTCCCTCAACTTCACATCGCAAGTACGGCAAAACAATGAGATGTATTGAGCTCATTATTTTTATGTTAAGTTCTTATGATACATTATGTTAAATTCTTATATAATATATCCATTATAAAATCCAGTATAGAAAATTTAAATTTTTTTAAATCCTTTTGACAACATTTTTTAAGTTTGAAAATAATGCTTTTATCAAAGTCTGAACCAAGTAAGCGTTATCCAGTTCGAACAATTTTAATTAGGACGTTTATGAGCCTTGTAAAGGTAAACATTAAATTTATTTTTTTAAAATTTTTCGAAACTAAAATTTTTTTCTTATATTTACTTTTATGTGTCGCCAAAACCACAAAATTCTCGGGGGAAATTTTAATTACTCAAAAATTTTTTGAACCAATTTTAAGTTTTTTCATATTTTTGGAAAAACAATTTTGTACACATTACGATTTCGCTATAAAATGGTGCAAAAATTAATAGTTAATACCTAATTCTTTTTAACTCGAAAAAGTGTATTTTTTCCCATATAAATGCATTCACAAACTTTGAGGCGATGTGCGGATTCTTACACTCAAACAAATTAATAATATTTTACAATCTTCCCTTTGACTTTCTTCTTTTATTTAATTTTATGTGTCGTCAGAACCATAAAATTCTAGGGGAAAATTTTAATGACTCAAGGTTTTCTAATAGTGCTAAAATTAAAATTTTGAAAAAATTTAAAAAGTGTAATTTTTCCCATATAAACGCATTCACAATCCTCAAAAGGATTGAATAATATTTTTCAGTCTACCCTTTGACTTTAAAATACAACATAATTTCACTTTTAGAAGTTGATTCGAGAGAAAAGTGTATTTTCGACCAATAATAATATGGACAGTGGAATATGGTGATAAAGGTACATGATTGAACTTAGAAAATACCTTTATCATTCACGCTGAACCTATAATTACACAGGCCAACGCATTGAAGTTTTGTAAAAACTTTTGAAACCTATTCGACTATTTATACCCTACACCACTTTAGTGGGAGGGTATATTGGGTTTGTGTTGATGTTTGTAACGCATAATAATATTATTTCTATACCCATCATAAAGTATTCCAATTGGCTTAGAATCATTTTCTGAGTCGATTTAGCTATGTCCGCCCGTCTGTCCTTGTAATCCTACTATAGGCCGCATTTTTGACCGCATTTGAACCCCTGAAAAGGGCTGGTAAACCTTGTAAACCTTGTAATCAAAGTACAGGTCGCAATTTTGAAAATAATTCAATGAAATTTTGCACATAATCTTCTATTGTACTAGAGATGAATCCTATTGAAAATGGGTAACATCGGACCAATATTTGACCTAGCGCCCATATATGTATACATGCTCAATATACTCGTATCTTGACAAAAAGCTGCAAAACCATGTTCTATACTAGCCTTCATGACCCTGATGAATTTTTTGATGATAGGGCCTCATTTGACCCTAGCCCCTATACAAAGCCCCCTTCGAAATATGACTTAAATGTACATAATTTTATACAACAAAAAATGGCTAAAGTATATCTGATACAAGGTACAATTCAACTTAAATGCTTTATTATGAACACTAAATCACATTTATTTGTATAACTGGTGTAGGGTATTATATGGTCGGCCTCGCCCGACTATAACTTCGTACTTGTTTTAATGTATTTTTAGCTGCTGAAACCGAATCTGGCATCGAAATGTTCAGTTCTAGTTCGGATTTAGTTCGGTTCTAGTTCAGTTCTAGTTCAGTTCTAGTTCAGTTCTAGTTCAGTTCTAGTTCAGTTCTAGTTCAGTTCTAGTTCAGTTCTCGTTCAGTTCTAGTTCAGTTCTAGTTCAGTTCTAGTTCATTTCTAGTTCGGTTCTAATTCAGTTCTAGTTCAATTCTTGTACGAACTGAAAAACGTAGCTTTTTAATTTAAAATATTTTTTATAGATATTTGTAACCTTATGGTCTATAGGCTAGGTTATTGAATATTGTTAAATAAATAAATAAAATAAATATCCCACTAAGTAACCACAAAGCTCCTCAATGAAATGGTCTAAGCTTTCTTTTGAGCACAAAAAAAGAAAGACAACAAAAACGTCCATTTTGAAAAAAATAGGGGAAAATTAAGTGCCAAATATTGTAAAAAATCTTATTCTTGGGTTAAAAAATATTTTTTTGATATATATCCCACTCGCATCCCATTATGGGACTATAAAGCCCTTAAAGGAAAAAGTATAAGCTTTCTTTTGAGCAAAAAAGGTCCATTTTAAACACTATAAAGCCCTTAAAAATTAAAAAAAAAATATAACTTTCTTTGGAAACAATGGACCAATAGATGAAAAATTACACTCATTTGAATAAAACTTTGTCCAACTTTTAACCCCCTCTAAGTCCGGCAGTTCTGGACCGGATAGCGCTAAAAAATGTGTGGCCTTCTATCTATTTGTACTAACCTTGGTGCAAATTTCATCAAACAAGAAATGACCTACATATCGTCACATAAAATGCAAAAAGGCGTAACAACCAAAAAATCTAAAATCGACTTTTTGATTGAAAATGGTCCACTGCATCAAAATATACGATGTCGCAAATTTTTAAGAATCTATTGTTGAAAACTCCGATTTTATTGAGATGAAATTTAAAAAGGCGTAACAACAAATTAGTAATTTCCACATGTCAGAAAGTCCTAAAAAGCCACATTATAGACAATAACTGGCGGTACAGTCATATTCATATAAATCTTGTAGGAAATTTTCTGTAGAAAATTTCCTATGTAAGAGTTATAGTTTGATAACTGTAATTGGCTGCAGTCGTTAAATCAATTCCATTAAAATAAAATGTTTAAATGAATTTTTATTATTAATATTTGCAAAATAATTCCGAAGTATTAAATTGTAATGCAATGAAAAAACTATATCAATATCTGTAGTATTTACGATTAATATTAATTGGAAAGCGTTTATTTTTTATTTTGTCGTTCTAAAAGTGCCAAATGTCTCACTGTGCCCTGGATAATAATTTTGAAAAACGGTATCTTAGTATATTTTTCTGTGGGAACATCAGCACTATAAATGAAAGTGGACAATTCAGTTTTATTTTTAAGGATCAAGAGAGACAAAAAGTATCATTAATAAACTGTAACGTTATTATTGATTTGGGTCTTTTAAACTATTTATTGACATGTTTAACAATACTTGCAAATAAAATAACACTAGATTTTGTTCATGGTATAAAACCTATATGGGTTTCTTTAGTCCAGAAAAGATATTTAAAAAAAATCTCAAATCTTTTAATTATTCATTAAGAAATAAAATGCTAAAAAAGGTTAAATTCGGAAGAAAAAATTTAATATTTAGAGTTTTAGTTATTTTTTATATAAACAATTTTATGGGTCATATTCATAACACTTTAGCAAAGGTTTTCTTATCACAAAAATATTGAAATTTCCGTCGATTTTGAAATAAATTGTGAATAATATTTTGTAAATTACTTTTTTTTAATTTAACAAAAAAGTTTCCAAAAATTTCGTAAAAATAAAAATAAGTGAAAGGTGGGTTAAGAAAGTCCTAAAATTTATATTATTACATTTTTTCCCTATTTTTTATTTCTAGGATACTTCCATTGATGATGACTGTGATTTAACTCGTTTTAATTCACGGAAAATCTTGCCACACAAAAAACGCATTTCCCGTAAATTAAAAATAAATCAGTGTGATTCAAATTTACAACTAAATGTACCTCTAGATGATCACAAATTGACTCATGTTGATCAGTTGGTAGTGGGCCCAGGAAGTTTGCAGCAATTTCGCTGTGAACTCTGTGGTCACGTAACCTGTTCTCAACTGGATTTTTTCGCCCATCTAAAACAGCACTATGAACCCTCAACTCCGGACACGATATTAGCTGCCATGAAAACGTCACTTGATGTTTTGGGTCCAGAAAAAACTTCGGATGATTTATGTACCATTAAAAAGGTATGGAAAAATATGATAATAATATAATTAGTAAAGAAACTAAAAAAATTTGTAATATAAGAAATTAAAAACAAGTAGGAAATTATAATCAGACATGGCCGACCATACGGTACCCTACATCAGTTATGAATATATTTTAAAAATGATTTATTTTTTAAAAAAAACCTTTATGTTGAATTTTATCTCTCTCACGATGTGTTAAAGCAATTTATTAAGTTCTATTAGGGTCAAATGAACATTTTATAAGAATCTCATTCCTATAACGAATGAATTCTTATAAGGAACTTATTCCTTCAAATTCAATTGAATTATATACGAGAGAATAATATTACCTCTATTCCAATTTAAGCTATGATTTAAGCAAGTTATTAAATTTCCTAAAATAAGCTCTATATGGGTAGGGTCAAATATGGGCCGCAAAATACCATTTCTGATAACAACAACTCTCATTCAAATGAATATTCTATAAGAATCTCATTCCTACAACGAGAAATTTTCAAGTCTGGTACATTACAATATATTTTATATTGAATTAAAGATTATACTATAATCATTATAGTGAATAAAAAAATTATATGCTTAAATTTGTGTTACAAATTTCGTAAAATTATATATCGTCACCTGAAATGCAAATGGACGTAACAACACTTTTCCAAATTTTACAGGAGAGACAAAAAGCTGAATAAAATGAAAACTATTTTTGTTATAAAAATGTAATTTTCTCAAACTTTTGAATATAATTGTTTTTTTGTACTTTCTGGCGGGTGGAAATTACTGGGTTTGTTGTTACGCCCTTTTGAATTTCATGTTAATAAAGTCGGCGTTTTTTACAATAGAGTCCTAAAAAATTGCAACAACATGTATTTTGATGCATTGAGCCATTTTCAATCAAAAGGTAAATTTTAAAATGTTTGGTTGTTACGCCCTTTTGTATTTCAGTTGACGATATTTTAAAAGTCCATAGAGAAACGTAGAGAAAGTAGACTGTTCACACATATGGATACTGTGTATTCAACATACCACCTGTTAGAGTTCCTCACAGTCATTTGTCAAATTGAATGTAAATAAATTAAATATTTTTAGTTTTATATAAAAAATCAAAATTATAATATGTATGTTTCCTTACTCGTCTGGATTCTTTTGTCTTGTCCCGGTTATGTCAGAGGTCCCTTCGGGATGCACGTGGAAGATAAAGTTTGTTAAAAAACAGATTAACGGTTAAATCTATATTTCTGGATAAGTTTGGTGCTGTTACCGAAAAGACAACAGATACATAAGTCAATAAGTCAATGCTTTACGTGAACACTTGTCGTGTTGGCCTTATACGACCACTGGGTGATCTTGTTAGACGACACACCACCACCCCTTTGTGCTTCTTACACTTTGCTCATGTACTCGAGCTACCTAATCTCTGACCATTGCTTAACTTCCGAGATGCAAAAACATCACTTCAGTTTACAACAACGAATATGGGATTCGGCAATAGCAACTAGAGATGTAGTCGGTAGACCAAAATACGAATCCATCAAATAAACCAAAGGCAATGTTCTTACTAACAGAGAACACACTGCACATTGGGGTCTCCTTTAAGTAAACTTGGCATAAAGTAAATATTTAGAAATGATTTTTTTGATAAAAATTTAATATGCCTGGAAAGATAAGACTTTTTTCTTTATAACGCCATCATTAGTTTTCCCATTTTTTTTAACGAATAGGCCTTTAGATAATGCAGCAAAGTTTATGTTTTTATGTACATATATTTTTCTACAATTTTTTTATTATTTAATACCATAACTTTTTTTGTACGAATCTACCATTTAATAAAAATTTCTAACAATTTTCTTTTTCTGTACCAAATATACTATTGTTATGTATGAAAAGGTGTTATTTTAAATCATCTTTACAGACAAAGATTTAATTATTGACGACTTTTTAAAATGATATTTTTATAGATATTTATGTTTTTTTTTTTTTTTTTTTTTAAATTTTTAAAAGTGAAAAAGTACAATTTGGCCACTGATGGCCTCTAATATCATATCCAAAAGATACTCTGAAATCTTCTCAATAACAACAAAATTAAAATGTTTGCCTCTTGAAAGATTTTTAAAGCCTAATACACCGGTATATAAACCACTTATTATCATGTTAGCGATTTTTAGTGACAAAATATAGGAAATAAAAGAGCTTTTCGTATAATTCCCTATCCCAAATCATATACAGCGATGTTCGATGAAATAGAGCCACCATCAGGTTCAAAGTTTCTCTCCACTTAAAATCTCTCCTACAAAGAATAGAGTTGGAAAAAACTAACTGAAATGTTGTATTGATCTGTTATGAATATAATAGCATTATTTTTGCAATAATTTACGCTTCGCTATTCGTAATTTTGATGAAATTTTAAATTAAGCTTTATAAAATGATGTGACAAAAAATAGAGCCAATTTGCAAAAATATAAAAATTTAACAATTTTCAAATTGAAATCGATCCAAATAGTAAGTTTAATGCTTTTTATTATTATTTTAAAAGAATCTCATTAAAAAATTATAATTTTGAGTACAAAAAGGGGCAGAGGCAAACATTGCAGGCGATACAGCAGAAAAACGTAAAAACACTCCATGATCTAGGAAAGGGCTATAGACAAACTGTTGAAATAATTAGGTGCTCCAAGAAAGTTATAGAAGATGCTGTAAAATATAAGTTTAAGCCAAAAAATATCGAAAAAAATAAAAAATTACATCTTTTTTAAAGCGAAAAAATCAGACTCATGCAGAGGATGACACTTTCGTGTGCTCCGTGTAACCTTAAAAGGGAATATAACTTAGATGTTGCCAGCTTAATAGTAAGATCTCTCATGTATAAAAATAATTTAAAGGACAAAATTAGTAGAAAAGTATTATATGGTACTTTAAAGATCCTGAAGAAAAAATAAAATTTTTCAAAAACATTTGAAATCTTCCCTTAAGCAGGAATCGAAATATTTTGTGGTCAGATGTAAAAAAGTATATTTATTTTATTCTGATATGATCCGTATAGCTATACGTAGACGTTCCAACGCTGGATTTTGTCCCCAATGTGCTATGAAGATCATTGAACATGGTGGCGGATACGTAATGGTATGGGGTTATTTTTTCTTGTTTGGACCATGGTCTCTATTTCGGATTGAGGGAAGATAGGACTGCAAATATTCCATAATTATAATTAATGATGCTATGCTGAATGAGAAATAGCACTTTTTAAGGAGATTCCAACTATTGTGTCCTCAAAAGCGCAATTTTTTTACATGACTCCATATTTCTTGCTCCAAAAAGAGGTGTTATTTCTTATTCCTTCTTGATATTTTCTGGTTTAAACTTATGTATTTCCACAGTTTATACTATTTTTTTGGACCATAGAATTATTTCAACAATTTGCCTATAGCCCTTACCTTGAACATGGCGTATTTTTATAATTTTTCTGCGGTCTCGCTTGCAAAGTTTGCTTCTGCTTCTTTTTGGATCAAAATTATTGCTTTTAAATGAGATTATATTAGGATTGTAATAATAAGCCTTAAACTTACAATTTGTATCGATTTCAATTTGAAAATTGTCTACAAATTGTTAAATTTTTATATTTTTGCAAACTGGCTCTATTTTTTGTCACACCATTTTGTATAGCTTAATTTAAAATTTCATTATAATTACGAATAGCGACGCGTAAATTATTGCAAAAATAATGGTATTATATTCATAACTGATCAATACAAAATTTCACTTAGTTTTTCCAACTCAATTCTTCATTGGAGGAATTTTAAGTAAAAATAAACTTCGAAAGATGAGGTGGTTCTATTTTTCGGAATATCACTGTATAACTGTAAACAAAACTTTCCCTAAAAAATCCAATAATCTTCCAAAAGATGCATTAAATTTAGTCTTCCGCGAAAGTAATTAGGATATCTATAAATGTAATAAAAACATTTCGTAACTAAAATGTAAAAAAATTTTAATTTTAAATTTTTGCAAACTGCAACTTTTCCTTTTTTACTTCGTATCTAGAGGACTTCCTCTATCCATCAATACCCATAATTTATACAAAAACATTATACGTAGCTTAGTTAATGCCAAGTTTTGTTTAGGGAGACCCCACTGTGCACTGTGGTAAGTCTGGTATGGACAGTGTAAAACCTAATTATACCTTGACATGGAAGGCAAATTCATTGGTATTAGAGCCCTGCATGAGTAACTCTATTTGCTATCCACAATGAGTGAATCATTCCTTTGCACTCAACTCATTGTTTGTTTAGCATAGCATTTATAAAAACAAAGTTTTGTTATTTGCTGAAATTTGGTAGTTTGTGTATGGTGTATCTCAACCCCGTGGCATCAAATAATTTCAAGGAATGTCCGAGGATACATTAAATATCACCAATTTATAGTTCCGGCAAACCGGATTGCATTAACACCAAGATATGGAAGAGTAGGTGTCAAAGGAATATGTTACACACCCATATACTCGTATGAATATGTCAAGTGTTTTCTCTTGATATGGAATCACTTAAATCAGTTTATTATTTTGCCAAAGTTTTGTAAAATTTTAAAAATAACAAATGAATGTGGTGAATATGTCAGAATAATAAATTGAAATGTCGTTACCCAGCAAACACAGAGGGTTCATGTAAAGTCGAGAATGATTGTAAATCACACTGTTTTTAAATTTTTAAACTCTAAATCTTATGTAAACGTTAAATCAATTTCTCTTTTTAAGGAACTATTAATATTTAATATTAAATAAAATTAATATATACCATAGTATACTGAAACGTCTAGATTTTGAATATGAAAAATGTTCATAACCCATCGAAAAAAAATTATGCAAAAAATGATATAAAATACAAAAAATTTCAAAAATATATTTTTTAATTTTAATGTTGTATAATAACGCTATTATATTTGTTAACAAAAAATAAAATACTCTTAAAGAAATTTTATGATCAATTTAAAAACAAGTTACCGGGGTACAAAAT